TTGCCGGTTCTTCTCAGTACAAGGTCTCCCGCCGTAGATTTGCGAACCGATGGCGTAGCTTTTCGACATTCACAAGTGCTTGTAACAGCCTAGACTGAATAAACGATTTTGAATTTTTGAATTTTGAATTTTAACTCTCGCATCCATTGCACTGCATTGCCACCTACACTACCACTTTGTGGCACTATGATGCCTGATTATAAAATCAGGCAGCGCGATGTTCGTGCGGAGTTGCAATCACTCGACGTCCGGAAAGCTAGTGGACCAGGTGCCATCCCAGCAGTTGTACTGAAACATTGTGTAGCGGAGTTATCTCCCGGGCTTTAGCGCTTGTATAACCCTCATACTCTTTGGGGCGTGTGCCGGAGACTTGGAGGAATGTCACCTCTGTGTTGTGTAAAGTTTTAAAAAGGGTCCATAATAACCATCTGACCTGCGTCATACGGATTTATACAGAATCGATCGACGGGTGCACGCAGAATCACCTCTTAACTTGTTAATTCTGTATCACGTCTGTATCACTTTTTTGACGTTTATGCGATAGTGTTTTAAGTCAAAAAGTTGAACATAATACGCATTTAAGTTGATATCAAGTTAATATCATTTTAAAGAGTTGATCATAATACGCTTAATTTGATGTCATTTTGATATCGCATTTTTCGGAGAGCATAATACGTAATGTGAAATTGACATCATAACAATATCACAATTAGCGAACATAAAGAGCTAATTGTATCTCTTCCACAAGGGGTTTATCTCTTCTACGCATGTCCTCGGCATGAGCACGTTCTAAATAGTCCATTACTAAAGCCGACCATTCACTACACGCACCGCGAGCCGAACCCATTTGTGGACAAATCCGTCATTGCCCACACACTACACGAGCGCCGAGTTGCAGTCCAGTCGCTTGTGTACTTTGGTAAGTCTCGCGCGTATCGTTCTTCCCTACCCTACCATGCCACCGGTGCTTTCCAAACGCACAAAAGTCGCTTTAGTAGTCGGTGCAATACTTTTAACGGAGAATAAAAAGAAAAAGCGCGTCTGAACAAAGGAATGGCTGAAACAACGAACAAAATATACTCATTTAAAATTGCTGCAATGCATTCAGACCTGTAAACCACCTGTTTCTCTTTAGTTTTCTCTTTAAACAGCAGGATAAATTCTTGCCAAAACTCTTTATGATCACCGAACGACATGTTATTATACTCGTTTACTCGTTCGTGATACAAACAACACAACTGCGGGTCAATTATGCTTTAGTCATATAATCCTAATATGATGTCAATGTGATGTTGATGCCAAGTTGACATTGTTTTTAAATGGTATTATGAAAAATTCCTATGTCACATCAAGATCATATCAATATCATATCCTGTATCACATTTTTGACGTTTATGCGATACTGTTTTATGTCAAAAAGTTGAACGTAATACGCATTTAAGTTGATATCATTTTAAAGTTGATGTCATTTTGATATCGCATTTTTCGGAGAGCATAATGCGTAATGTAAAATTGACATCAAAACAATATCACAATTAGCGAGCATAATTGGCCGGCAGTTGTGTTATTTGCATCACGAACGAGTAAATGAGTATAATAACATGTCGTTCGGCGATCATATAGAGTTTTGGCAAGAATTTATCCTGCTGTTTAAAAAGAAAACTAAAGAGAAACAGGTGGTTTACAGGACTGAATGCATTGCAGAAGTTTTAAATGAGTATATTTTGTTCGTTGTTTCAGCCATTCCTTTGTTCAGACGCTTTTTCTTTTTATTCTCCGTTAAAAGTATTGCACCGACTACTAAAGCGACTTTTGTGCGTTTGGAAAGCACCGGTGGCATGGTAGGGTAAGGAAGAACGATACGCGCGAGGCTCACCAAAGTACACAAGCGACTGGACTGCAACTCGGCGCACGTTTAGTGTGTGGGCAATGACGGATTTGTCCACAAATGGGTACGGCTCGGGGTTCGGCTCGCGGTGCGTGTAGTGAATGGTGGGCTTAAGTTTGGTGTTGCCAGACACATGAATAATGTTAGTTCCTCAAACATTCATGTCACGACTTTATAGACAAACTGTAGTTCGCAGTTCATGTCAGTGAATGCCGGAGTCCCTCAGGACTCCGTCCAATTCCCCACACTCTTTCTGCTGCATATCAATGATTTGATACCGATTGAGAATATTCATTGCTATGCAGAGGATAGTACAGTGTATGCGAGATACTTTGGACACGCAGCGGCTGGATAGGAAGAAACTAAGAAGAATGGAAGAGTCTTGTCACTGAACTCAATCAGACTATAGATCACATTTCCGAATGGGGTACCAGTTCTCCGTTTTCCAGGGCTCCGTTCGAAACCAAATTGAACAACCTGAATGCAACTTTTCAACCTGAATATCCATGTATCGAGGAGCCAGTTTATATTTAGGTCCGATAGGGGCGCTGATGAGATTTCATAGAAACTTCGTCGATGCAATGCGATAGTGTGGTGTGACGATAATAAAATTGCGATACAATTAACTAGGCCTTTAGACATAGGTGTCAATTCTGGTGGGATTCTCTAAAGCTATACAGAATGAAAAAAACACACTGATGTCAAATTATTTTTAAGTTTAGAGAATCCTGCCAGAATCGACACCATAAATTGAGAAGAAAATCTTTTGGGGGGATTAATGGTGGGAAGTTTGGATTTGGGGGAAATGGGGCGTTATTACATTTTTTATATAAAAATAAAACCACTTCATTAACTTTTGATCTGTAAAAAGTCGCGATCAACAGTCAATCTGTAGGGCTATAGACTGTTGTCAAATTTTAATTTTATATGGCTAAGAGAATCATGCCGGATTCGGACCTCTAAGTCCAAAGCCTACATTAAAAAAAGTCGTCGGTTCAATCCGTCTCACTCAGTCACCCGGTGAGTCAAATCCATGTCAAGTGAAGGAACTCGTCGTTTATGGTCGTTAACTTAAACTGCAAATCAATTCGACAATGGTGTCGATTCTGGCACGACTCTCTAAAATTAAACTTAAATTTGACAACAGTGTTTCCTTGTCATTCTCTATACAGAATGAAAAAGAGAGACTGATGTTAAATTTAGTTTTAAGTTTAGAGAATCACACCAGAATCGACACCACTGTTGTCGATTCTGGCATGATTCTCTAAAGCTAAACTTAATTTTGACAACAGTGCATCCTTGTCATTCTCTATACAGAATAAAAAGGAGACTCTGATGTTAAATTTAGTTTTAAGTTAAGAGAATCACTCTAGAATCGACACCACTATCTATCGTCTTTGCTCTGCTAAATCATAATTAGTGCAGAATTACATCTTATGTAGTAAATATTGTATTTTTAGTAAACATTTTGCAAGTTGGGGTTTTTTTCTTTAAAACCTGTATTTTGGGGGGATTCCGGGAAAGATTGGGGGGGAAGGCGAAATGCTAATAATCTTAAGTGTAATAATCCGACTGAAAAACTCTGTATCCAGGTCATGAATAAATAAAAAAAAACTTATTAATCTGTGCTTGTTTCTTAGTGGAGTTCAATTTATTAGCTCTTAAGTGGCATCCACACGATACAATTTTACGTCCAATTTGATTAGATTGACAATCAAATTGTGTTGTGTGGACGGAAATATGAAATTGAAGGTCATTGGATGGTCGGTATCGCCCGATTTGGGATTGCCCAATCAAATTGGGTGGTGTGGACGCTAACTGGCCAATTTTTTAACGTAGTCAATGTGCAAGTGGCGTTCAGAGCGGGTGTGTGCGTTGACTTGTCTTTTGAGAAAAAGATGGAGCAACATGACGACAATATTATGTCTATTCGATCTAAACGGGAAGTAATGGAGGAGATTTTAGATATATGTAAAGACTTGCCATGCCTTTGGGATGTGTCTAACCCATTATATAAAAATAAACAAGCAAAAAATATTGATAAAAATATTACTGTTATAATTTTTATTATTTTTAAAGCATGTAACTGCTTGATGTTTAAATCTAAAGAAAATATAACTAGAAAAAATTCCACGCGGACCAGGCAGTTATTTGTTATTGAAAATAAAAAATCATTTAATTAAATTTATATTCTACTCAATAATATGCGCGCATGCTGGGGTAAAAAAGAAATAATATTATTTATATTTTTTTATTATTTTTATTTTTTAAGCATGTAATTGCTTGATGTTTAAATCTAATGAAAATATAACTAGAAAAAAATCCACGCGGACCAGGCAGCAGACCGGACTCGAACCCGCACCCTTCGCAATCCGGGCGAATGCACTGACCAATTATGCTACCGCGGCCCTCACGGACCGCGTCAAAATTCTTCCAGCCATTCTTAAGTTGCAAGGCAGCGCCATCTCTTCGCATTATAGGTAACCCACAATGTCAAATGAATACTTTTACAAGTATTAAACATTTGAAAGAAGAAATAGCAATAGTATTATAGTTATAATTTTTATTATTTTTAAAGCATGTAACTGCTTGATGTTTAAATCTAAAGAAAATATAACTCAGTTATATTTTAAGGGTTTTTCGAAGGGTTCGAGGTCCCGTCTGCTGCCTGGTCCGCGTGGAATTTTTTCTAGTTATATTTTCTTTAAAACTATATTTAAGTTTATTAATTGAGTCACTTAAATATAATATAACTACATTTAAGTGCCTCAATTGCTTTCTTTTTAATAACCATTGTTTTGTCCACAGTCTTCTTTTTCCTTTTTTTCTCATCTACATTTGTAGTTAGAGCCAAGATTAATCCAATTTTTTGCTTCTTGGTAAAAGGCATCCTAATACAAACAAGTCCGTTCAGCAGAGGCAACAAATAAAACTGAAATTGGCGATCTTGTTGTGTATGTGTAGACGGACGACCAGATTGTACCCAATTCAATCGGCAATCAGATTGGCAATCAAATTGTGTCGTGTGGAAGGGGTTTTAAGCAAATTAAATCTATATACTTTTTCCATGACAAGTTATGGGTAAAAGTCACCCCCAAAAACTGACGAGGCTGTATGGGCTTTAGTTTCCCTTGCCTTCCCTAAAAAGGGAGAATATTTAAAAAAAAATGTTTCATGTAGTTTTCTTTGTTTACTCGTATTGTTTTGAATCTAAATTTTGAGGCCTTAGATTACTGAATATAAACATTTTCAGTAAAACTGTGGAGGTAAGTCTTTATCGTAATATTATTGCTCACTATGATATTTATGAGTTTAAGGTGATGTTTGGAGTCTTAATTCAATATTTTGTCCTACCTAACTTATAAAAATTCCCAAAGATTATTAAAATTTACAGAATTATTAGGCAATTCTAACTGAATGCAAAAAAGGAGGTAAGAAAGAAAGAAACAATATTTTATTTAGATGGCAGCCCTAATACGTGTCATATCAAAATTTTTATTAAATTACTCTCTTTTTGTAACTACAATGGTGATATTTTTCAATATTATATAAAAAAGGAAATTTCAATGTTTTGTGTGTTGAAAGGTATCAAAGGACATGGTAAAACTTTGTATGAGCGGCTGCCCTAGCAATGTATAAATATTGTACTTAGTAATATTTAATGCTGAATGCCTGAAAATGTATAATTTCTATGAAAAAAGGCTCGGGAACTATTGATAAACTTACTACGATATATATATGATACGATAATATATTGATAAACTGAAAATTATGAAAACTCCTATTACATCATTACCTAGCAAGGTAAAAGAAATCACCAATTTACAGAGCAATTAATTTCGCATTTTCTTACAATCATCCTCCCATTTTTCTGATTTACACTTCTCAAATAATCTGTCAAGTTATTATAAAATTTTAACTGAATTGTTGAACATTATGCATCACGTAATATATTTAATTTATTTGATAACTATATCAATGAAAAGTGCCCCACACTTTTTCAGTTATATATATGTCACAGGTTTTTGATGAAAAACTGGAAGATGACACATTTTAATCTCAATTTCATCATAAACCTGTAACAATCCAGATTTTTGATCAAAAACTTAAACTAGTAAATAATGTTCAATCTGATATACATTTCCGTTGACAGGGACTTAGGGACTTCCCCGATTTTGTTATGCCTGTGCTCACGCATAAATAAAAAACTAGAAGAAGAATTAATTTTAAAAAGTCAGCAAAAAAAGGAAGCAGTTTTTCGGAAAGATTTGAAGAAATCAATATCAGTGCTACAATTTTAGTGGATGTGCCGAAAATAGATAGAGGGCCACTGGATGCAAGTAACATTATAGGTAAGGTAATTGCTTATCAATTACCTTTTAGAACGATTTATTCAAAATTGATACTTTAGCTGGGGTTCTAAAAGACTTGCTGCCTTAAAACTCTATTCAAATATCAACTATTACCTTAAACAAACCTGTATCGAAAAATTCACTGAGTTTGCGTTAAATTGCTTCAAAGATGTCTTTATTTGGACGCCAAGGTTTTAAGAAATGCTCGTGCGAAAAATCTAAAGTTGGCTGCAAGACAAATCTAAGTGCATGCAAAAAAAATAATGTTTTATGCAACTCTAGATGTTACATGTCAACAAACTGTCATAATAAATAAAGAATACTATATAAGCAAGCATGTGGTAAACAATTCTTTATTACATTTTATTCTTTTTTTTATATATAATATTGACTCAGTTTAGTCGCATTTAATAGTTACGAAATTTCATTTTCGAAGCTTATCAAAATTAGATTTATATAGGTACGTGAAATTGAAACATTTCATTTCATAATTAGATTGAAGGAGGAGAATTTTGATTGGATCATTGATGTAAAATTTTGATCTTAAACCCAAACTAGTTCAGGTTTTTGATGAAATTGAGTTTAAAATGTGTCGTCTTTCGGTTTTTCATCAAAAAGCTATTGCGAGGTATAAGCGAGGAGCTATGTTGTAAGTTTAGTGTGTTATGGGAAATAAATTTGGGCAAAAACTTGAGGGTTGAGTAATTACATAAACATAGTAGAACTTTCATGCTTATAGGATGAGGAATGAGTGAGTCATAGAGAGAGATATGTTTAATTTAGGGCAGTTAAAGAAAAGATGATCCACTGTACCATCCTCGGTTACACAATCACATGTACCCCACATGTGATTGTGGAACTGAGGATGTCACGTATTTTTAACCTAGCCAAGTGAACAGGGGCAATGCCGTGATTCTATTCGATTCTATTCATTATCTATTCTATTATTATTCTTCATCTACAAATTGTGGAGACCACTTTTTATTAAAACTTCACCTTGAAAAGCAATGGTTGAGATGGAATATTCTGATGTATCTCGAAGTAGCATTTACTAACACAATCCTTAGTGTGAAGCCAGTGAATTTCCCACGATTTAAATAAATATAAGTCCTGGTAGCAGACCCTGGAGTACTTTGGGAGGCCAGAAAAAATGACGTAGTATTTAGCACAAGTTTTGAGAAACTAAAAAACTGACTTCTATGAAAAAAAAGTTTTTATTAAATCTTTTCAAAGAACTCTCCACCAGCCTCTATACAAAGTTTCATGCGTCTGAACCAATTTTCATAATATTTTATCCAGTCCTCTGCAAACACCCCTTCACGGCCTTCTCAAACTATGCTAGCGCTAGCGCTTCTTCCGGCGATGAAAACTGTATCCCTTTGAGATGATTTTTTATTTTAGGGTATAAAAAGAAGTCACACGGAACCAAATCAAGACTGTAAGGAGGGTGTCCCAAGACTCTGACTGGTACGGAGTCCAGGAAGTCCTTTGTTTTGAACGCAGAGTGCGCGGGCGCGTTGTCGTGGTGAAGAAGGACCCCGCGGAACCTGGCATGCATTTTATGCTATACCATTTGGCGCTTTGGTCTCGAAGTGAAATTGAAATTAGGTACCCCGTCAAAGTGAAGAAACTAGCGATCATAATTTTCCCTGCGCTCCTCGATCGCTTCACTTTCGTAGTTACTTTCTTTTAGTTTCGTTCGAACATTGGTTCATTTCGAAACAGACAAACTGTCGACTGACGCTTTGTTTCTGGATCGTATTGATAAATCCAGGATTCGTCACCTGTCACAATATCGTAAACGCGCCGTGACGATCCTGCATCAATTTTTTGTATCATATTACTGTACCAATCCACACGGGCCTGCTTCTGAGCTTCGGTGAGGTTGTGGGGCACCCAGCGAGAAACTATCATCCTTACGCAAAGGTGCTCGTGCAAAATCTTGTAAACACTTCCTGAACCAATCTGCAGAGAATGCTGAGTCTCTTCGTATGTAATTCGTCTGTTTTCTTGAATTATTTTTTTTACTGCCAGCCTGCGAAGAAAGTGTTTCTTCGGTGACAGCCCTCGTAGGACAACCACTCCTTTGTTCATCCCCCAAAGTAAGACGACCGCATTTGAACTCGCTACACCAGCAGTAGATGGTTGCTTTTGAAGGTCCTTCATCCATAAAAGCAGTTCGAAATCGATCAAATGAATCATCAGGTTTTAAGCCACCTTTAAAATCGTAGAAAATCATAGCACGAAAATGTTTTAGATGCAGATCCATTTTATAATGAGACAAGAAATATTTAATTGGCAATCAAAAAATGTGGAGGTCCTTTTTACTTTTAGGTAATGAAAGTTTTCAAAATAATTACAAGTGGCCAGTGTCTTCTTATACATAAAAACTTTTTTTCGCAAAACTTTCTGAGTGGCCTGGTGTATATGACTGGCATTTGTTTGCTTTTTTTCCTGTAAGAGAACGGATGACATAGAATACTGCAATCCGGCATCTCTGTCCAGTATGGATTTCAATTCAATTTATTTATTGCAGACCATAATGGAGATACAAAGGTGGTAATATTAACAGATAAAAATTGCATTATGGACCCTGCAGTGTAGGGTATCGCAATTGGAAGAGGAGAGGACGTCTTATTCATAATACCTTATTGTGATATAATAGCATTTATTCAATAACATTAACCTAATTTTTTTAATAAATACATTGTAATTTTCTACATTTTTTAAATTTTCAGGTTATTTATTATAAATTGTTATAGACATATAATACGTGCTAGATGAGCATAATTTGAGGCGATCAGTTAGAACCATTAGCTTTTTCTTGTGTCTTGATGTATATTTTGAAGGAATGTTTTCTCTTCTAGTAAAAAAAAATAGTATGTTTTTACAAATTTACAAATCTCAAATATAAAAATGCTTGGTAAAGAAAGAATTTCATATTTTTGGAAGTAAGGTTTACAACTTTCAGTTTGGTTAATATTAACAATAATACGAATAAGTTTCTTTGTAGTATAAATAAAGATAAAGCGGATACGTCCGTACTGTTCCCCCACAAGATGTTTCCATAGGTAAACCAGGCATTGGCATAAGCATAATATGTGATAAGAGCAGTCTTTAGATCTGTTGTTTTTTTGACCTCTCGAGGTGCATATGTAAAGCTAGATAATTTATTTTTTAATATCTGGATGTGAGATTTCCTATTTAAGTTAGTGTCTATAGTTATACCCAGTAATGAAAAATCATTAACACATTCGATATTTTTGTTTTGAAAACTGTAACAGAATTTTATTGGTAATTTTTGTCGTGGATTATAGGTTATTAATTTAGTTTTATCAAAGTTTATTCTAAGGTTATGTTTGTTTAACCAGTTAAAAGTCTGGATCATTATTTTGTTGGTGTTGTTTTTACAAGATATGAGAAGAGAAATATAGTCCTTTCACAACACTGAGTAATAAAGATAACCTGTGCTTTGGCTTTTGACAATGACGGTATTAAATATACAATTTTGTATCCTAAGTACAGTATCAATGAAAAGTATTTAGTTAATTTAAAAACACCAACAACCTCTTAGAGGGTGATTCTACCCATCAACAGGAACAACTTTTATTATGGGACCAACGCTGAAATCGCGAAAAATACATCAGCTGTTTCATACAAAAGTGCATCAGCTAATCGACCGAAATGTATGAAACAGCTGTTTTTTTTTCGCGATTTCAGAGTTGGTCCCATAATAAAAGTTGTTCCTGTTGATGGGTAGAAACACCCCCTAAGAGGTTGTTGGTGTTTTAAAATTAGCCCTGTACATTGGACTAATGATAATAATTGTAATCGATAATAAAAGTAAAAATAAAAAGGAAAGTCGTGACACAAGATGTCACAACTTTGATTAAAAAACACTTCTTAATAAAAAAAAACCGGTCAAGTGCAAGTCGGACTCGCGCACGAAAGGTTCCGTACTACAAAGTTACAAACAAGTCACAAATTCTTTGAATGTTACTAAAAATGCATAGAACCCAGGATTTGCATAAAATTTGCGACTAATACATACGTAGCTTTCCTGAAAGTTTGTTAATGTTGTGGAGATTTTTTTTAAAGGATATAGCTGAATAGACACGCTTCACAGAATTAACATAATCTGTCGAATTTACAATGCAAAGATGGCGCTGCCTTGCAGCTTAAGGCGAATAAAATTTCGACGCGGCCATCAGGGCCGTGGGAGCATAATTGGTCAGTGCATTCGCCCTGATTGCGAAGTGTGCGGGTTCGAGTACCGTCCGCTGCCAGGTCCGCGTGGATTTTTTTCTAGTAAAACTTTTTTTTAGATTTAAATATCTAGCAGCTAAATGCTTAAAAAAAATAAAAACAACTATAATCTGCCGATTTGCACAAGCCGAAGTAGCTTAAATCATGTATAAAACTGTTTTATTTAATGAGCGGTGTGCGTGAAAACCTAGGAAATAAGTAGTTTACTATTTATATTTACCTAAAGTCTTACTTTTTTCTATTTAATTCTATTTTTATTCAATTTGCCATGTTTCTCTACTGATTTACTGGACGCGATCAGTATTAATATCTACGTCTCTTTACTCATGTGTTAGTCGAGTTCCATCGTTCTTTAAAGTAAGCTCTTTTATCTGATATTCACCTAAAAGGACTATGTAGTTTAAATCATAGAAATCCTAAGGAGCTGTACTTAAAAGCTACTACTGCCACGCAGTCCAGTAGCCCATATATATGTTATTAATAGCGTTCAGTCGTCAGTCCCTCATGAACGTTAGATAAGGTCACCGGTACGTTGCTCGCTAGCTTTTGTCGCCATCGCCGGCGCTGATGTGGTATTTTGTTCATTGACCCTTTCGGAGGCGGCTGCATGCGCCAGCGCAGGCATTATAAATTCGACAACACTATTAAACATAATCTCAAAAGTTTTGTGATTGACGTGTTTCTAGAACATCCGTGAATTTTCGTGAAATTATTCTTTAAAAAAATTGGGTAAGTAACTTATAAGTTGTAAAGTACTTTCAGTTTTTATTTTAAACCCTTGGGTTTTATTCTGTGTAAATATTTTAAGCTTTTCCTTATCTAAAGTAGGTAACTAACAGAAGTTTCAAAACAGAGCTGTCTCTTTTATCATTATCAACATGGAGAGTCGTTTTTCTCTGTAGAATTCAATGACCAAAAAGTGGCACAGTTGTTAACTATCCATTAATTGTTTATCATTTAAAACAGATTGATAATGCGGCTGTCCGGAATTGGTCGTACGTGTCAGGCCTCAGGTCGCACAAATCACGTGTCTCTACATGGCATCATCAACTCCTTAATTGAAATGTTGCTGTTTTAAAGATTATCATATCAATAAGATGCTTGGATCCGACTTGATAAATATAACGTAATATGTAAGGCACATTAAACTTATTCAAGCTTGGCAATCAGTTGTTTGTCTTTTATGAGACTTACCTGCATGTAAAAATAATGCATTTTTCTTATTCAAAATGTTAATAATTAAACTTTATCGTATTAAATTGAAAACGAAGATTTAAAGTAACTACAGAACAATATATCGGAATAACAACTTATCTAAATTTTTTAGAATATTACTAGATTTACATTTTGACAATAAAACAGCTGTCTTTCTTGAAGAGCGTGAGCGGCATTATTATGCCAATAATGCCACTGTGATTTCACTCGTTTGTAAATATACATTGACGGCAATGTGTAGCCATCACAGGACATTATTACCTATGTACTCTCTACCGATAAGCCATTATTATGAAAACATTTACATAAAATTTGTATAAACTGAAAGTTTTGCACTTTTCGTTGCGATTTTAGACAACCTAAGACAATTTTTATTAATTGACTGTCCCAAAAATTTCTGTTCCTGCATCGATCTTTTGCGTTATAGCTACTTTTAGAATAATATATCAATATTTGAAATTTGATGTAGAGGACCTGCTGACATTGGCAGACCCCGCCACGTGCGAAGTTTTTATTCCGCTGAACAATGTGCATTCAAGTTCACATACATTAATATGAATGAACTAATGTTCATTGCCACTAATTCAACTCAGAGCTACAGCATAAAGTTAAAAAAACACTACAATACTGTAAGCGGTCATTGTGGGAGAGGAAACGAAATTATCGGATGCAGCTTTGTTTAGTTTGAGAGATAAAATGATTCAGCAAACTCTCCTCGCATAAATAAAAGTTACAGTACAAAAGCCATGGTCAATGTTATAGATTTGATAAATAGGAATGTATTATTAGAACAAGGTGAAATCCTATTTATATAATACCTATAATTAATTTTGTGTGTGATTTGGTTCAATTATTTTTATAATTTTGCATATTAATAATTATTCAGGTCATTCTTTACATGACTGAATGAAATGACACAGGCGAGAGCTCTTACCATGTCACTTGCGGCAAGTTCTTATCACTGTAAAAATTGCCTTGGTGTAATGTATATTTTTAGTGTGAAAAAATAATTGGTGGAATTATTATTTATACATAATCAATATTAGGCTATTCTTCGCGTGACTGAATGTCACACAGCGAGAAAACAATTTCTTTCCATGTTGATTATGGTAAGTTCTCAGTTGCCTACACCGTCGTTAAAGATGACGACCTCCGTGACCGAGTGGTTTGTACGCCGGGTTTCAAGGTGTCGCCGACTCGAGAGGTCCCGGTTTCGAATCCCGGTGGGGGCAGATGTTTCTGTGATGAATACGAGCATTTGTACTCCAGTCATAGATGTTTAATATGTATTTCTATATAAATATACAGTATAATGTATTCTCACCATTACCCTAGTGACCCATAACACAAGCTTACAGTGCTTACTTTGGACCTAGGGTAATTGGTGTGAGTGTTGGAAATATGTATGACTAATGAACCGAAGGCGTAGCTTTTCATGTAAGAGATGATTTTTGAAAGTAATTTATCTTCTTATTGTTCCTTAATCAATAATGTGAAAATTTTGGTATAATGTAGGGCCCCTAAAACTTTCAGTATGGCGCATTGTAAATAATTTGTGTCGGGTATCCCTAGTCTTTAAATAAATTATAATTCGTATGATTGAATATTTCTATCTGATCTTAAAATATAAAAAAAACATATTTTTACTCAGTTGGCCTCATCTTTCTAAAGCATTTGATAGCGTAAGCCAAGCCACGAAACGGTATTAAATGAATTGGAACATTATGATGTCTCTGTCAAATCACTTAATTTGCCTCACCAAGTACTAAAAGTTGCTATCAATAAAACTGAGACTTAAAAATTATCCCAGGCGTGCTTCAGGGATCAATATTACGGAACCACAGCTGAACACAGGCCTCCCCCAAGGTCCCACCTCCAGACCAATGGGCCCTGTGCCTCGGTACAAATATCCTGTGCTATCTGTAATCTGTATCCAGTGGCTTCCCGCATCCTACAAGTAGGTCGGTCCACCGACGTCCTATATTGACTATTTCTTATTTTGTTTCAGATGTGCTAGGAGATAAAAAAAAATACGATGGTTCCTAATCTATTTAGTCTGCTGATAATAAACTGCTTTTTGGTGTTAATTTTTTGGTCTGGTGCAAAGGCCGAACTTTTCACCGCCATATCAGAAGTAGAGCCTCTGTTAGTGACACACAAAAGAATTATAGATGATCTCGATCACTACATACAACAGGAGGAGAAAAGACTATTTACTCTGAAAAAGTAAGTAGTTATATGTATTGTAATGAAATCATGGGAGTTAAATTGTCTAACTTAAACACACATAGGTTCTTATGTGTGTTCTCTCTCTGAGTTTCGTGGACTCTTTGAGTTTCTTTAAACCATATCATTATAAAGAATATACGAATAATAAAATAGGTAATCTTTATATTTTATAGTGCAAGATAGTTGTTGTAATTGAGTTCAATGTACCGTAATTCATTGCAATTTAATAAATAAAATCAACAATTAAAAATGCATGTTGTTTTTTCATATACCATAAGTTAAAATTGAATTATCCTGTTAATGTTATTTGATACGTTTATAAATAATTGTAGTTAGTTGATTTAATGTTCCGTGACGCCATGATATGATAAACGTTTAAAATTAATTGTTTAATTTTAACCACGTAAAATTATATTGTAATAGACACACTGTATTGCAGTGTGGTGCAGTATAATTAGATATTAATGCATGCCTACATTGGTTAATTAAAATAACGTTCTTTTATTATGCGCAAAGATACGTACATATATATATATATTTCTGTGTACACTATATATATGTATGTACATACCGTAAGTGAGGGTTACTTTAGCTCGGGCGGGTAACTTTGTCCCAAATCAGAAAGAATATTGAACTCCAGTTGAGTTCCAGTTGAAAATCACAGATAGCCATATAGGCGCGTAGTGTAATGTTGTTTTACCGACATCGTTCCTGTATCAAGTTGTCATTGTAACGCGGGATTTTTTGTAACTGAAATACTTCGCAAGTTCATGTGCAAACTTTCTCAACACTGTGGTTTTAGGTAAGTTTACTATTTTTTCTAAATTTAAAGTTATATTTTTTGTTTAACTTAATTATTTTTGGGCAAGTTCATCCATTTGTGTATTCAGTATGCTAATGGTGATCTGTTATAAGGGTTACTTACTTAAAAAAATATATATTGACCCTTAAATATTATTTTTTCCTATTTTCGTCTGATAACTTTGTAACTTATACTTTAAAGTTCACAATGGAAAGATATAAACGTGACATATTCATCACAAAGAGAAGCTACAATTTTATTTGAAAAAAAAAGTGCACCTTTTAGGTCAAAGTAACCCGCAGTTACTCGGTATACATATTTCATTTACTAGCTATAAGAGAAAGAGAAGAAGAAAATTTGCGCGCGCACTGCTTTCTCTTGCTTGTATCACCCACTCAATTCCCGTTTGCCTCGCCCTAACACACTTTTCGTAACGCGTAACGCATTCGCCAGCTTATAAAATTATAAAATGATAAAATTACGGATACGTAAAAAATGTTGTGTGTAAAAAGATGTCCTTAATGAAAAAAAGTTTATATTCAATTATGTTTTTCTTATTAACCACACCACTACTTACACCTGTATGTAACATATAATCGCATGGGAAAATAGTAATTCTACATCCGATTAGTTATGCGATCCCGGAATCTCGGGATTTTATTTTTAGTAAAAATATCCTAAGAATAATACGCCGCTTCCATAATTTGTTGGCCAAAAAATAACTTTACATAAATATGCATTGATTATTCGATCTCTAGTGGATATAAAAAAAATACGCGTCGACTTGAGACCCTGGCCCGAACACGACTTCCGAATTTTAGGTGATTTTCCAAAAAAAATCAATCATAACGGAAAAATAGGAGTTATAGAGTGTACTTCTTACAGTCTGTGGCGTGGCTAATAATGGAATTTACGGGTATTTTTTTTTTAATTTACACAATAAATACGGTAATTATTTATAATGTACCGTGGCTGCTTCACAAGTACCTATAATTGTTTTACTAAACGCTGGCAAACACTACTCATTTGTAATGTAATAAATAACACAAACATGAATACGCTTTTCTTTTTTTTCTGTTCACAGGCAATTAAGTATCTACAAAAGAGAACATGATAAAGCTATGGAAGACATCCCTAACTATTTAGGAAATCCCATTAACGCGTTCACGCTTATCAAAAGACTGACTGCCGACTTAGATTATATCGAACAGACTATAAAAGTTGGCACAGGTAAGCGAAAATGATATTTATTATGCCAGATAAATTAGGCAACCAATTTATACATATATGTACATTTATAGAGATTTTAAATGAGATACACATATAAATCTATTAAGTTATAAATTGATAAATTAAACATTTATCACAAGTAATCATCAGGACCATTTGTCAAATTATAAGCCTAACAAGACACGGTAAGTCGATAAAGGATTTATATGGCTCTATTAGTTTTTTTTATTGAAATAAATATGCATTATTTTTTTCCGCCTGGATAGCGGAAGGCGCAGGTTTAAAACCTGTATGAAACCTAGACCAAGTGTTATTTTTTTCAAGAGAAAGTTTTCTTTAGGTTTTTTTTATATGTCGATTATAAATCTAGCAGATAAATGCTTAAATAATAACAATACAACATTGATTTGATTTTTCTACATACAGCTTGCCCATATTATGTTTCTATTATTGCAGCTGCGCAAGCAATTTATAATTTGCTTGCGCTTTATTTTTTTGCTTGCAAAAAAATAATATAATCAATTACTCTCTCGACTGCAGATCGAAAAACACTCGTATCATAGATCTCATTATTTCGGAAAGCTGTAAAAACCCATATTTTTGGGTTTTATTGAATTGAACGCTTTTAGGCTGTAAAAACATGTCTAGTAAACGTTTACTCCACGGATATATGTTACAATAACTCGATAATTGTATAAAGATATCTTTTGATCCTCTTCATACTACAATAGGTTTTATGACAGCCCTTTGAAGGCAATTGAATTTCTAAATTGTCGTCAAACCTGCTTTTACAGTACTATCTTTCGACAACTAATTCTTAGAACAATGTTGTAGAGAAAAGGAAATTCAATCAACAAAATAGCATCGAATTTGCTCTCTCAACACAATGTTATATGATAGCTTTCTGGAAGGCTACAATTCCATCTAAATCTCAAAGTTGAGAAAACGCTGGAAGCGTTTCAGCAAACGATTAATTGCAGAATCGGAGGTGGTCTAACCGTTATATGAAAAACAACATACAGCGTAATAGTGGAATCAGCGTTAAATTAAATCTTTTATAGCACACTGTAAACACTACCGCCTTAAATCACTGTATCGAACAACTGTATTTGCATTTGTTTTGCAAAAATGGACTATAATCCGTGGAAAAAAATAAAAGAAGTGATGCATTGGTAGTACGATGCGGTACGGTGAGAGAACGATTAACAGTGATTTAACATTTTGCACTAAGGAACCTGCAATGGCTGTCTTAGAAGTCGTTAATTGGAACCACCCTATATTCTATCTCTCGGCTAAAAGCAGAGTGAATACTTCGTGATGATAAAGTAGATTGCTATTAATGGCGAGTAAATTTTAACAATTTCATTAATATTATTTGTCATTTAATATAAAAACTTGCCGCCTATAAAAATGTTACATAATATATGAGGCATCCAGACGAACTAAATGACATCCGCATATGAATTTGAAAGTACATAATTAGCTTAGGATAACTGAATTACATGTATAACTAAAAAAATGTGGCATAATATATAAATGGCAGAATCCTTTCCTTTTTTATTTTCACTTTGTTCTTGTCATGAACTTGCAAAACAATAACTAGTTTTACGATAAATAAAACGATCTATGAGCGTTGCTTGATAGTTTTTACAAGATTAAAATGTAGAGTGATAGCAACTGGATTGGTATTTTACTACAAATAAGTCAAATGAAAGATGTTCTATCGACTTGTAAACAGCTAATGTGTGGGATAACGGCATACTGACATCAATTCACATCACTAGTTACAATTGAGTTGGTGATTACTTGATATTCTTTCGAGTATTTGGTTGTTCAAACGATAATTTTACAATATCAATAGCATTTAAAGCTGAGGGAAGTGCGCCCTAATCGCGTCGAGAGAACGTGCACAGATCGCTCACTCGACATTTTGAAGATCGTTCTCTCCACCAATAGCTAAAATAGAAACGTTCCTCTTGATTTTTTTACGATAAACACTCGGCGACAAAAATCGCACCTCTGCGAAAATAACTTTCAAGCGTTATTATAACCCTTAACACACGCATTCATCCCCACCAATATTGGTGCCATATTTTGAAAGCCCATTAAATTAACTTTAAAAACAATTCAATTATTTTTATTTTTTTATTGGAACAGTGCAAAAAGCAATAAAGTTTACAAAACAATTAAAATCCTTAATTATACCTTAACTTAAAACAGATAAATTACACAAAAAAATACAAAAAGGTTCTTAAATTAACCTAAAACCTAATGTTACATTGTGCATGCATTAAAGGTGACTTTCAATGATTAAATAATGCCTTATATTGTTTTTGACTACGCGATCATCTTACGGAGCTCCGTGGATCATCCAATGTACCTTTTGGATAGGTTTCGGGCACGATTTTGTTCATGTTGGTGTACCTAGGGTATTTAATATCGTTGCTTGCGTTTATAAATAATCCCAGTAATCTATATTTAATGTTTCACAAGATTTCACACCTAATATTATTTACAAAGAATCGAGCCTAAAGAAAACAGAGCTCTTCATTTCAGCATAATAGGATGTCATCCATCTAAGTACAACAAGTTGTTATATTCCAACATCAACGCGAACGAAGGCGGACACAGCTAGTTACTAATAATTAGCAAATAGTTTATTTGTAGTTACGTGGGTATTGAGTAGTTTTAATGTAAATTAACTAGATATAGTAAAAGCATTAAAGAAAGTGCATATTTGAAGCACTATTGGAGCCAAAGAGTTATCATGCTTTGGCAAAATTATAAGAAAAATGTAGCATAAAACATAGTTTTATATATCCTATAAATTAAGAATAGAAAATTCTTATTTTTTTGTTATTTATTTTGTTGTAGAGTACATAAAGAACATAACAATGAACCACGACGATGTTAAGTATCCGGCGATTGAAGATTTGACGGGTGCAGCGCAGGCCCTCACGCGCCTCCAGGAAACCTATTATCTGGACGTGACCGAATTAGCCGAAGGCGTTCTAAACGGCGTCACTTATAGGTAAGCTATTAAAAAATATAAATATAGATATTTTTAGTTATTTATTACACATCATAAATTACAAACAACAATTGACACTAGCATACAGCCAAATTGTGAAAGACTGGGGCCTGAAATAGGTTTCAAGAAGAACCTGTACCAATGGTCACCAATCTATAAAATGTATATCTTTATTTCAGAATTATCTTTAGTGGTTTCTTAGTCTTACCTATTCAATTCCAGTTTTGTTTGATAAAGAAATTAAAGAGTGACAATTCAATTAAATTCTTATCACGATGTGATTTACAAACGATGCATTTGAATAACGATTTGCATAACCTGTCGTGTTGAAAATATAAGAAGGTTTAGTAAATGTTCCTTTTTTTATGTACCTAATCAATTTAGTTGAAAACGGCTATACATTATAAAAAATGTAATGGATATAATATATCAGATCTTAGATTTAAGAAAATGATAATAGCCCCATGCAATTTTCATCAAAAATATTAAGAAATATATTATTCCTTACCAGTGATGGCGTTAATGACTGGGACTTAAGGTAACGTTCATTTACAATTAATTCTATTTTCAACTGGGGGTTTTCGGTTGCTTCTTCGTGTGTTATGAGTTTAAGGACGCACCGCATCAAACTTACTTTCCGCATTTCTGCCGCATAATTAGGCATTTACCTATCCATCTTCTTTACCTATTTCCTATCTCCGCTGTCACACTTGCGCTTTGGATTATGGTGTGTAAAATGACATACTTATATGATAAACATTATTATTACCGATTGTGATTCAACAGTTGCCTTTGCAACAATACTGTAATCAAGTGCAAATATTATTCATTTATTTATAGATTTAGGTACATTTTCAGTCTTTCTCCAAATAACAAGTACTGTTGTTATGTCCACAAAAATACATTACTCAACAGTGTTTAAATAAAATACGGTTATATTTGTTCATCCAAACAATATTTTGTAACTTGCGTGCGGTCAAAATCCAAACCTGTTACGCCCACATATATTCTTGTCGTCATATTAAACATCACGAGAATTCTGATGTTCTCTCATTTTCATATTTAATTTTGCATTTCGCAATGTGCACCGACAACTTTTAAAAATTTTGGTCCCTGATGAAATTGCATTCCGTGTCCAATTTTTAAATGCCTAACCTTTGCCCGCAATTTCATTTTGCATTGATCGACACTATAATCCTTCGGGGGCGATAACCTTCCATCGAGCGTGATAAGATGTTTATTGCATTCAAACGAGGACAACTCTTTCGGTGTGATTGTAAAAAAATATGTTCCCATTTACGGTATTATTATTATAGGTACATTGGCATTACCATGTTTACTTCCTGGGATAATTATTCTATTGTTGTATATTACTCGGCTCAAGTAAAGGACCCGGGTTTGATTATCGATGAAAAACTTTCCTGGATAGACCATGTCGATTTCGTCTCGCATAGGGTGACCAATTCTCTAAGATCTCTTTACAGGTTTTAGTTCTTTCTGCCCACTCGTACCAAGATTGCCCTTGTTCAATCTCTCATTCTGCCTATCATCGATTATGCCGACGTATGTTATCCCGATATAAATGAAAATCTTCTAAATAAGTTGGATCGCCTTCTTAATAACTGCATCCGCTTCATATATGGCTTACGTAAATACGACCATATTTCACATTTTCGTCTTCAGCTCAAGTGGCTTCCTATTCGCGAGCGTAAGAACCTCAGAGTTGTTTGTGCCCTTTTCAATCTTCTCTTCGATCCACATACACCGGTTTACCTAAAAAGCAGATTTAGGTTTCTGAGTGATTCTCATGACCGTGTCCTCCGTTCAACGGACAATCTCCTTCTGCATACTCCCGTCCATTCTTCTGGCTTCGTCTCCTACTCTTTCACTGTCACGGCGGTACGACTCTGGAATGACTTGCCCCCCAATATACGTAAAGCTCCTAACAAACTTGCATTTAGGGGATTGGTTCGTGAGCACTATCTCAATAGCATTAAACAGCGTTCTCATATATGACTGACATAATCGTATACTTATATATGTATTGTGTGTATGTATATGTGTGTATCTATGTTTGTATATATATATATATGTATATGTATGTGTATGTATGTGTGTATTATGTGTGTGTATTCTGTTAAGAGTATTTGTATCTTTGGTTTCTCTTACATTTGTCTTTATTGCGCCCCCGTCATATTAGTTTTTTCTCACGCTCTTACTGGTCGACTGGTAGAGAATGCCTTATGGCATTATATCCGCCATTTGCTGTGTTATGTTGCAATAAAGTTTAAACAATTGATTTGCTACAGTCATATTGCCATAATAATTTTTCGTTTGATCGCCTATCGCCGCCTAAAGCGGCCTATAGCCAATGAAAGTAGGTACCTATGACGCGAGAAAGATATAAAACGCAGATGCTGTGCTCATTCAGGAAACCTCGAAGTGCTAACTATAAGTTTTACTTTATGATGAGCAACTACGGAACCATAAAATTAACAATATTTGGAGTCGGTGCCATGCGAACAAACATAAATAAATCTGAGTTGCCGTTCACTACTTGGGTTTATTTACTCCAAATATTGTTTTACTTTAACGTAATTTAGATTTTGTTAAAGGATAAGAATTAATGAAATTCTTTTTGGAGTTTACTCCTTAAGAATCGATTTGCATATATAAGGGGCCCGGTATGAGAAAAATGTGAGGAGTAAAATCTATCGATGAATGACCTCGTTACGTTTTTGGTGCGTATCCTATGTCGCGCAACTTTGACAAACAAAGATGACGGATTGACATTAATAATTTTTTTAAAATCTGAACTGAATTTAGATATTGTTTCTGATAGAGCAGTATTAGTCCAGGCAAAGAATACTCAAAAACAGGTATAGAGGGAAATGCTTGGAACACAATTTTTGACTTCGTAACTTTGTTAGGACTAGTTAGGAGGTAAAAATATCAAAAGTCCCCGCCCGTAGCCCTTAAGCCGGGGGGAAGGGGGGGATTGAAGGTCCCATTTTTAGGTTTTTCGCATATATCTCGGAAACTATGCATCCTAGCGACATGAGACTTTGACAAAAGTGAAAGCTGATTAAATTTGCTACAAGTCTTATTCAGTCAAGTTTTTTGGTATCTTGTATAGTTTTCGAGATATCCGCTCTTGAAAGTCTGTAATTATGGAAAAAATAAATTGCCACCACTTCCTGGGAATGCTGTTTTACTGCTCCCTCGGTGGGAAGAAGACAAGAGATATCAGGCTTGATGGTGGCCACTGATTTCAAGAATGACTTGTACCTGTAGGCATTGAGGGAAATCTCTTTCGCTGGAGCTCCATACCACCTTAAGATTCAGGTTTCACCTGCCTTTTGTACTTGAGCGGTGGTGGAGAAAGGGTGAAAAGACCGCTGATGCTTTCTGGATTTCTGGTGACTTGATAATGTCGCTGGTCTCTGGGAAGGGAGGAAATTTCTCAAACCAATCGGTGAGCTTGGCAATGTCAGCTCCATTCTTGTTTTGGCGGGCATTTCCCTCTCTACCTTTTCGTTGCCTGGACTAAATGGGGACAACGAGGTATGGTAGAACATTTGATGCGGTATTTTCAAGATTCGTGAAACACGTATCTACGAACGTCCATGTGTCTTATTTTAGTTACCATAAACCACTTGTCACTGTAATTAATAATGCAGACAATGTTGATTTAATTAATATTTAAAAAAATGATAATAGTCTGATAATAATAATTACATAATTTATCAACATTCCTAATGATATATTTATGCACATCTGAAATTGACTATTGCAAAAAGTTTAATGTAAAATATTTCGTCGATTAGTTGTAATAAATGTATATGAAATGAATAAATATATATTTATATATGTATATTTTTTTCATTAATTTGTTAATTTACCCTTTCATACAGTATCAATCTTTTTTAAGTTAAATAAACTCTTTTTGCGTCTGGTTAGACTATCGAACTTAAGGAGTTAACACCAGTCGTGCGTCGGAGCTGATACACACATTTTTTTTGTTAAAAAAGCTTTATTTTTGTTTTGAAGTGATACTATGTAGTAATGATACTGATTTATCTTCATAATATATATAAATTACGCGTTATGCTTTTTGTCCGGGGTGAACTCCTAAACTACTCAAATTTGCACCCCGTGTGCTGTTTGATCCAACTTGAAAGATGGGGTAGCTTACATCTCAATTTATAGTCGCAATATTATTTTATTGCAAATTATTACTTTTGGGCGTTACGAAGTTCGCGGAGTCAGCTAGTTGTCTAATATTTTATTCATTCGTTATAGTACTCCAATGACCGCCGGCGATTGTTTCGAGTTAGGAAGAGCTCTCTATAATGAAGAAGATTACAAGAATGGCCTGGCTTGGATGTTGGTCAGCCTACAGAAATACAAGAAGGAAAATGAACCATATTTCTTTAATGAGACTACTATCTTGGATTACATTAGCTTTTCGTACTATTTGCTTGGTGAGTTGTTATGGGAAACATTTGCAGATGTTTTTTTATTATTTTATTAATTGTAAGAGAGGTAGCGGAATTTGCGCTTAAATTGGAGCTCCCGACTGGGGCAGTAACTTTCACCTTATGTACACAGTAAAGTCATATTCATTACCTTTTGATGGTGTTATGTTTCTGTCAGTGAGTAAGGTTTGTAGGACTTTGTGGGGTTAGTGAAATGGGTCAAGGTATAGGCTATGGTGGCCGCTTAATAAGAGGCAAATATATTAGTCGTGCTAAATGGTTATTTACCACCATCTTTAAATAAAAAGTGAAAAAAATACGAATTTAAAACTTTTTGCTTACAGCCTCGCCCCATTCTTTACCAGACTCCTCTTTAGAAGGCTTTTATATTTTTATATAGCTTTTATGACTGATGTATTTTATTGTTAATTCGTTGCTATTGATGTCAATTGGTCCGTAAATATATGCATTCTACCTATTTCGTTGAGCTAGTTTTTATTTAATTTTAAACATTCCACTGCTCCAGTCATCGCTTACAGGAAACTTTTGTTTACAGGTGATGTAACAAATGCACTGGAATGGACAAAGAAGTTATTAGAAGTGGATCCCAATCATAGTCGGGCACGGAACAATATACCACATTATCAGAAGGCTATTGCCGAAGAAGAGGTGAAACTTGCCAAGAAAAAAAGAGGGGTAAGGAATATATTTTGCTTTTTGTGTTGTTTCATTTTAAAGCTTTCTTAATAAACCTGTTTAGAGTTCTTATGTTATTTTTTAAAATATTTGTACCAATAGAGATGATGACTAATTTTTTTTCTTCGTTTATCAGGTAGATTATGAAAAAGTATTGGACACGTATTTTTTCTTTTTTCACATAATGTAAACATTGCAGAGATATATTGATTTGAAAAGTCACATGACGTCACGTTTTGGTACATTTTGAAGTGAAAATTCACTAAAAAGTGACGTCACGAGCCTCTACTCCCAAACTTTGACGCGCTATAACTTTGTCATTTTTGGTTGATTGCCCAAAGAAAAAATACGTGTCCATTATTTTTTGATCATCTAACTGACGGACTAAATAGAATTTCGTTTACTGTACCCCGTCATCCCCTATTGTCTGAATTTATAGCACTTACGATTATTTATTATATGATTTATTTCTTTCTTTTGTTTACACATGTTTAGTATTTATGCTAAGATTAGCTCAGTGCTAAAAAAGTGTTCCAAGTTTTTTTTGCAAACCGTACTTTTCATGCGATATTTGACAGATGGAGGTCATCTTTCCTATTCTTATTTGAATCTCATTGTATGAATGAGTTCTCAGCTTCTTCATGTCCAGTTCTCGAATCATCTGAATCGAATTAATTATCTGAAACGTACGAGCTACTAGTTGATGATGATACATTGTCATCATTGTTTTCCTTTGTATTATCGATAGGATCTGGAATTTGTTCATATTCAATCCTTCTTTCGTTATTTTCATAAGGACATGGAGATTCGATTCTAAGTTAACTACAATTTATTGTTTAGAAATGTTAAGGTCCTTAAGAAATTTGTTTTCAACGAATTTAACATTCCTCGCGATTGTTAACTTAAAGTTTACAGTATCTAGAAGCCTGTACCCTTTAGCAGTCTCACAGTATCCTGCGAAAATATACGGTTGTGTTGTACAGCATATACCAAAAAACCAAACACTCGTAAGTTAATCAGATTTACCTTACAACCAGTGTAAACTTCTTCTGGAGGTGCACCTCTAACTGCCTTGGTAGGCCAGCGATTCTTTATATATACCGCAGTGTTTGCTGCTTTAGCCCAGAAGCGATGGTCCAAGCCAGCTTCAATTAGCATACAGCGCACCGCCTCCACAATGGTTCGGTTTGCGCGTTCTGCAACTGCATTCTGCTGTGGGCAGTGGGGAACTATAGTATGATGTTTAATTCCACACTCACTTAAATAATTTTTAAATCGCTCGTTACTATATTCGTCACCGTTGTCGCTTCGTAGAACTTTATTCTTTTTATCAGTTTCATTCTCAACAAGGGCTTTAAAACTTAAAAAACATTCAAAAACTTTATATTTCGATGTAATAAAATACCAAAAAGTCTTCCTCGGAAAATCGACAACAAATGTTAGCAAATATCTCGCACCGCCTAATGATTTCACGGGCATAAGACCGGACACATCGGTGTGTATTAAACCTAAAACTTCCTTTGCTCGTGAAAAAGACTTCTTAGGAAAAGGTAATTTGGTAACCTTACCCTCGATACAGGCGATTCATTGCTCATAAAATATGTGGATGTGGATCATAGTCGATTCTAGCTGCCATATCATTCCTGAGAAAGTTCATGCTGCGACTATTCAAATGTGCTAATTGACGATGCCACAAACCCTGGGACAGAACTTCCACATGGGTTTCTGAAGAAGTGTTTACTGGCATAGCGGTATGTACGCGTTTCACAGAATTAATGGATGCATGACCGGTTTCTAATTTATATAATCCGCAAGCATTCTTTATTACAACAGCGACCACCGTATTATCATCATAAATTTTACAAAAGTTAGATAAAAATTTTACTTTACAACCTTTTTGTGTCAAAGCACTAACTGACATGAGATTACATGACAACTTCGGTATGTATTCTACATTGCAAAGAGTTTTTACTTCATTTTGTAAAAATAGTTTTACATTACCTCGACCTGCTGTATAAAGCTTATCACCATTTGCTACATACACGACATTGGCATCGAATTTTCGTTGACAAAATTACTTAAAATGTCTCTATTATTGGTCATGTGACACGTTGCACCGCTGTCGATGTACCACTCATCGCTATCAAGCTTGAACATTAATGCAGATAACAAAGTAGTCTTGACGGCTCTCTGCATCTTCTCCTCGCTGTTCTGAGTAGAGCACGATGGTTTATGCTTCGATGCTTTCTTATTGCAATCCTTGGAGTAGTGTCCAAACTTTTTGCAATTAAAGCACTTCGATCGTTTTGTAGTAGTCGTCAAGGTATTGTTATTAACTTTGGATTCAGCATCTCTTCTTTGTATCTCTTGCATAAGTTTAGATTTTACAAAATCACTTGAAAGAGTAAGGTTGTTGTTTTCCAAAGTCATTATTAGTGGGTCGAAATCTTTTGGGAGACCCCTTAAGAGCGCGCGTTCGATTTTGCGCAAGTCAAAATCTACACGATCTATCGAAAGGAGTACGCGCTGCGGCACAATGTTTTCTCTGTGTGCGTGAGCGCTAAACAGTTAGCACGAATCATTTTGATACTTTTATTTATTTAGGATCAATTTCATGATTTAATTTTTTGAATCTAATTGTTATAATAAATTAAAACAACAAACTTTACAGTAATTATCTAATTTTATAATTGCACATTTCTAATTGGCATTGACCGAATTTTTCTCGGATCGATCAACTCAGGCAAAAGACATTTATTGTAGAACTCCAATAATTTAGGTTCCATTTTTGTTGTCCAAAATACGTCGTCTCTTGTAATTTTTGTGGTCTTTATAGCGAATTCCTGTCCCGTCCACACCGCAAACAGACACACATTTTTTTGACTGAAAAAAAATATTGAAGTACATTTCTATCAATGCTGAGCTAATACGCACAGTCAACCGAACGTTAGTCATTACAATAAAATAAATTGATAGTGATTGTCACCTGATATGGAGCTGGCCTTGGATTTGAAAGTATCAGTCGTGGTTGGTATTGTGACCCATCAATTTTCCAAAATTTAAGTTAGTTCGTCCACAACAATAATGTATGATCTGCGGGCGTAGGTACTGACCGCGCCAAAATACTTTATAATTCTTATCAGAAAAGGGTTATTGAGTTCGAATACAATTTCTGTGCTGTAAAAAGTACTTAACAATTTGAATATGCCCACAGCAATAATAAAGCAAAAAAAAGGATTTCTAATAATGTACTAATGGGATATTAATTAAATAGGAAACACTTTTTTATATATATTTTATTCCATATCTTCTTTGATCACAATGTTATAGATAGTAGATATAATGAAAAAAAAATCGAACAGAATCTTGTCCAAAATACACAGCAAGAAGTCGTCCAAAATATCAGTTTCGGAAGTCTTAGGCAAGCACTACTCAACAGCCGCAGGGAAAGATTTCGAAAGTCCAAAAGCAGTCTAAGTTACATATAAAAACAAATCGCAGAAAAAAACACAATACGCTGATTTAAATATTTGCAATACGTATGCACAAACAACGATAGTGATAACAATAACAACAACAAATCGATGACCAGCATGACAGTGACAGTTATAGTTTTTTGCGTTAGAATTGGCGCCATACTCTTTTTGTATTGTGAAGATTGTTTATTAAGGTTTCAGCATAATATTGAAAAATAATGTTTCCCGATATTTTTGATAGATAATTATATATAGTTTAAGCGTAAAGCGATGCAAAACATACGAACAACATACTTGAAGTTGATTTCATCACTAAAATCACTTAAAATAAATGGCTCAAAAGCCATGATGCCAAGACACAATAAAAAAATAAAGAAATAGTCAATTGTGTTTCCCTTTATTAAGTTTTAATTCCAGACTTAGACAACCCTCCTCAATCGTTTGATAAATCTTTTGAGATTATTTTATTAACATTTTTGATAATGACATCTATAGACGCTAAAGATTTACTTCAACAAATATTTCGCCATTGTCCTTTTCATTATTCTTTTACTAACCATAATAATCAAAATACTTACGTGATCTGCATCACCATAATTTAATGCATCATTGGGCTTACTCGACTGTTCTTCAATAGAATTCTTTTTTTGTTTGAAAGAATAAACCTACTCATAAATTCAATTTAAAAAAGTTATTAAAGTAAACCTAATTAGGTGCAGGCGCTTTTGACCAGTCAAAAATAAGCACATTTTACGCGGGTGAGACTTAACATATATATACAAACCTCTTAGCTCTTGCTTTAGCCATATTTCCTAAATTTTTGCGTTTTCACTTTCCCAAAAATCGCTTAGTTTTATTTCCCATTCCGTCTGAAACATAATTTGTTGTCACTATCAAATAATGTCGGTCAAAAAACTTACTCAAGTACTTACGATCACTATAAATATTGCTGGTCGTCAAAAATAAAATTTTACTCACCAAAGTACTAAGATTTGACGATCACGCTATAAACTTGAGCTATCCTTGGAACTACGCGTACGCACGGCAAAGGTCAATAGCGGTCAAGCAGAGCGCAAAGCGACGTGTCCTCTCTCTGGAATGGCTCGCTGCCGACTGATTTGAATAGGTTCGAGCGCAGAGTTTTATAGTAGATTTAAAATATTTATAGAAAAATAATAGAGCCAATTTAGTTTACTTTTTTAATCGTAACTTATAAAGGATGCATTCTTCTATTACAATTAATATAAATTATATTAAATTAAGTAATATGTATTGGTTAAAAAAATCATTTCATCGACTGTAATTTCTAAAAAAATTCACTTCGTATGGATTTTAATTTCATGAGTTTGGAAGCTAAAACAAAAAATCCCTTTAACTAATGATTTTCTTAAGGATCTTTGCTGTTAGTTAAAAATTTTTGTTTATTAGATCTGTTAGGAATTTCAGATATTTTTAGCTTCGAAATTGACACTGAGAGTGAAATCCAGTAAACCTCTGTTCAGTTATCTTGATGGTATTCACAAACAATGTTTTAATCGCAAAAAAACTTTAACTAACGACATAGATTAAAACATTTCCTAAAATTATAAGCAATTCACATGTTTGTAAGATAATTGGTTGGTGGACAATCTGGTTTGAAAAATCACGTTTTTGAGCCAAACAGCGCACGGAGCGCGTATACGCTCTTAACATGATAATTGCCACAAATTCGTCTTCAATAGGAGCATTATATCTTGCAACTGATGTGTTGTATCCATAATTTTTGTGAGAAACGCCTCCATGTTGTCAAATTGGTGCAAACTTAGACCAAACAATAGTCTAAGTAGGTAGGTAGTACACATTACCTTGTCTTTGAAGGACTTTTAAAGACTTTTCCAGGCCTCAAATGCAGTCTGACTGTGTCTGACAACCGAAGTAACTGAAGGTTGTACACTCAGATAAATTCGTGCGAGCGCCTTGTCCTGTTTCTTCTTGTCTTCACACTCCGGCTTACCATCTTTGCCGATAGTTATGCATTCAATAAGATCTTCCTGTATGAGTACCATTTTCATTTGGAACTTCCATGTCGTGTAGTTGTCCACCCCGGAAAGTTTTTCAATAATATACTGATGACTCATTTTGAGGACGTATTATATTGAATAAAGAAATAAAACTGAAAATAAAATACTATAAATCTTAAGGCTCTGCTACCATAATGGAGGAAAATGAAAATACAAACTTGCTTGTGTAACTAGTTCCTTGAGTCTTTTTTTAGTTTTTCACGTTACTAAGGAAACGTATGTCAGAGACAAGTGAATATGTAGTGTATCTTGATAGTCGATTCCGATAATACCTATCTGATAAATAAAACTTTGAATTTGTTTAATATATATTTTAGGTTTATTTTGTTTGGGATCATAAAAGATCATAAATGTCATAATTCGATTTTTCCGAAATATTCAGTTTGATTTAAAATTATATTCGTTTTATCCTTCCCTGATTCAATTAATATCATTAAAAGCTTGTTAAATGTCAAAAATGTACATAATTATTATTATGCGTGACATTCACATATAAAGATTCTGAAACCGCAACATTACCTATAAAAGTGCTTTATTATTTAGCCAAATTGATATAAAACCACGACGTAAATAACAAAACCGTAGTGTTGGTTTATCTGCCAACTTAGTGGGTAAGTCAGTTGTGAAATCACAATTATTTCCGAGCACGATCTTCCCATTTACTGCACGACTTGTTTTGTTCTATTTGTATTTACCTCAGATTCACGAGCTTTATTTGTTCTTTAAAACATTTATGGGTTGGATTGGATCATTTTTGGGATTAGACGATTAGTTCATTTGAGCTGTAATTGGTAATTTTCAAACTAAAAAAGGTTAATTAAAAAAAACAAAAACCCGACTGCTTAAATATCAAGTACCTTGAGGTATTTATATGTTTAGATAGAGAGAAGACCAAGTCTACGGATAGGACTCAATTTTCGCAAAAATGTGTGAAATTAAATCAAGTCGTTACTTATACGAGTATATGTAATGCATGTTTTTAAAGTGAACTAGTACATTCAAAAAGTCATCTTTTGTTTATTTACCTTTTAGTAGTGAATGGAATATATAATGTGAATTTTGGAAATGGATATCTAATAATATTTAAGTTTTGATTTACTATTTTAGCGATAGGTAATGGCTTTACACATTAAAAATGGATATATGCTGCCGCGGACCTTTTTGTAGATCTATTTAAGAGAAGGAAAATTTCCACTATACATTATATAACTTTTATTGTTTTTGCAGTTTAGGCCAAAATGGCTCGCAGGTGCGAGATTTTTTTCCGTCTTACATGACATTTATTCTTATAATTTGGCAAACTCACTTAATAGCTGCATAAATTATTATTTTTATGTTATTATTATGCAGTGTTATTGCGTGTGTGTGTGTGTGTGTGTGTGTGTGTGTGTGTGTGTGTGTGCGTGCGTGCGTGCGTGCGTGCGTGCGTGCGTGCGTGCGTGCGTGCGTGCGTGTTATTAATATTATTGTTAACTTTCATTCAATTCCATTCAGTATTATTTGGGTGAAAGAGTAACAAAGATCCATAAAAACGTAAGATTGAAATTAAAAGTGTGAGTGGTTAATACACAACTTTAAATCATTGTAGATCATAAACAGTCATATGAAATGAAAAATGGAGTAACGAACCTAAACATGATTTTCGATTATCTACGTATGGGGTATCATTGTCTAATATATATTGTATATTAGACAATGATACCCCACTCGACATATTTTACTTTCATTCTGGCGCTTAATTGTCCCCATATTGAATTTAGATTACTATCATATGTTAAGTAGCACTCCCATGATTAAGACGAATTGATTGACGTAAGAATCATCAAAATTGGTCCACGTGTTTGGTCTGTAGTGTGCCACAAAAGAACATATGTACATACATATATAGACTGTTAAACACTATAGCCTGTCTACGAGTCGCGCTTCGCACTCTTGCATTGCGCAGTCGGGTAAAAAGAAGTATGTTTAATTAGTACTATTAACTTCTCATAATCAAGATTGACCTCAAACAATTTTCACCCTTAAATAACCGACTATTATTTCACTCAAATTGCAGGACGTAGGCGAGGAATCGCAGCAGGTAGTTACAGTTCCCGAAGAGCTATCTGAATTCATGAAAGAAAAGAAAATGTACGAGCATTTGTGCAGAGGAGAAATGGATATTCCCCCAGAAATTGCTAAAAAGTTAGTAACCTTTTTATTCAAATGAAATAAGTGATCTGGAATTCTGCCGATTGAGTTAAAAATCTTTGAAAAGCGTTGTGGTTTACTTTTTATCAGACTTTTTGTGGTAATTTTGAGTATTTTCGTCTCGTTATTCCATAGTAGCTAGTTCAAATTGTTTGCTGGTTCAATAACAGAGAGTATATATAATGTCTATTGTCCAGGTTGTACTGTCGATACTTGACGGAGAATCATCCGTTCTTGAAGCTGGCCCCCATCAAGATGGAGTATGCTTATCTGAAGCCTGATATCGTGATATTCCATGATGTCATGAGCGACGACGAAATAAAGTTCATACAAGAAGCTGCTAAACCTAGGGTGAGTAACTAAACTTAAAAAAACAAAGTGTTGTTACTTTAGTGCTCTATCCGCAATCAGATAAAGATGTACTATTATTTGTAGTTCAAGTCAGACCCGATTGCTCGGTTTTTGGATTGAAAAAATTGCGATAGTTTAACTTCCCATACTTATTACATTTGATCGAAGTTACTGTACCGGCTTACTTCTATGGTTCCAAAAGAGGTGTTATTTTTATGCGAGTCTTGATCTGCTTCTCTATGCCTATGATTTAAGTGTACCTACAACCTTTTTAATTTTCCTCAGTTCAAACGCGCCGTAGTGCACGACGCACGCACTGGTAAACTCGTACCAGCGCCGTACCGCATCAGCAAATCGGCGTGGCTCAAAGACGACGAAGCGGACGTTATAGAGCGCGTGTCTCAACGTGTCGCGCATATGACCGGCCTCAGTATGTACTCGGCCGAGGAGCTGCAGGTCGTCAACTACGGCATCGGGGGCCATTATGAGCCGCACTACGACTTCGCGCGCGTGAGTCTCTCACATACGTACACATTAGTGATGTAACGAATATTCGCATCCGCATTCGCATTCGCGAATATTCGCATATTTTTGAATATTCGCATTCACATTCGCATTCGCAAAATCTCTGCGAATGTTTGAAAATAATTTGAAGAAGTTGTAGTTCTGCCTTTCCTTGAATATTCATTGTTACTTTTTTGCCTTTCCTTGAATATGCTTACATTTAGCTCGTTCAGCATCGCAAAGTGCTGAAATAAGTCCATGTTTCACTAGAATTCGATTAACTCATGTTCATAAATCACTATTCAAACTCTAACCTCAAAATTCACTTGTTTTGTTTACGGAAAGGCCGGTGCGAGTGGAATGACACTTCAGTCGGATGAGTTATTATATCAACTCGGCAATTCGAACCAAACTGCCACCATGCCATAGACAATTGGCGCCAATTTAAAAAAAACTAAATATTCGCATTCGCATTCGCGAATGTCTGTACTAGGAATTCGCATCCGCATTCGCATTCGCGATTGTCAAAAAATGACATTCGTTACATCACTAGTACACATATATTGTGCGTTAGGTATACAGGGCGTCCCACGGCTACCTCACACGGAGGTAAAGTATATTAAATATTGAAATAGGATATTTTACTGAAAGAAGACAGCATTTTATTTTTAATAATAACTAAAACTGCATTCAAAGTTTTTTTAAATCGCCTGCTAAAACTGGGAAATAAACTCATGAAATTTCGAAAAAAATATACAACTTATGATAACCATCGAAAGGGTTAAAATCATAAGAATTATTTTTTGCTTAATAACATAGTTGTAGCAGGCGATTTAAAAAAACTGTGAATGCAGTTCTAGTTATTATTAAAAATCAAATGATATCTTCGTTCAGTAAAATATCCTATCTTCAATATTTAATATACTTTCCCTCCGTGTGAGGTAGCCGTGGGACGCCCTGTATACGGACGTTGTAGCGCGCGTTTGTCAACGCGTGGTGCACATGACCGGCCTCAGTATGGACTCCGCCGAGGAGCTGCTGGTCGTCAATTACGGCATCGGGGGCCATTATGAGCTGCACTACGCTCATCACATCCCAATCTGCGTGACGAACTTTTGGTACCTACTAAATTGCGCTAAAATTTGCTTTCGAACTTTAAATTCAGTACTCTTGCTTCAGGTTCACATAGAAAATTTATCGTTTTCCACAACCTCATAAATATAGGATACTAGTGGCCGCCCTCGACTTCGACCGCGTTAACTTAATTTTTTGACAATCCCACAGGAACCAAATATTTTTGTGGGAAGAAAAGTATGCCATGTCTCAATCAAAGTCTTATTGACAGTTGTTTCAGGTTACTCACAAATTAAAATTAAAGTAGGTATGTTAATATAATGACTTTATTCCAATTTATATCCATTTCAGAAAGCGGAGAGCGCTTTCAAGAAATTCCATGGGAACAGAATTGCTACTGTGCTATTTTATGTAAGTCAATTAATATGTTTCATTTATCACAAGATTATCACTACTTTTATGGAGCAAACCTTTCAAACCATCGTTATTTTTGTGTATTTTCTCTTTGACTTGAATAAAAATAGCAAAATTTTGTTATATTATTTTTTTATCGGTGATGTCAATTTTCGCAATAATATACACTGAATCAAATATAAGCCTAATTTCTAACAACATGCCATTACGCACGGCCCTAGAGTTAATTTGTCGCCAGCCGTTGGTCCGAGAACGCAGAATATATGGTAACACACTTCTAGAGTTTCTAAGTGACGCAGGCAGGCCTTATGCTTGTTTGTCATCGTTATAACCATGGGAGGTTAGAGATAAGGAGAACGACCGCTATAGAAAATAGTGTCCCAGAAATATGGACAAAATAATAATAATAACTTTATTTGGAACAAGTGTAAATGTACATAAAATTATGTAACGATAAATCTGATATAGTTTTACGAAAACTATGTTGCAGAATTAACGCCCATTATTCTCAATAAAAGTGGGCTAATTGGAAATGACCGCCGCGAAGAAAATTTACATTACTCAACATATCAACATATCATACATTATTCAACTAACTTCATCTACTTGTACTCATAAACAGCTAACTTCACAGATACTACTAGCGCGGCTGTTGGCTGAAAAATGAACTATAAATTATACAAATTTTCAGGGCAGGCGGGCTAATGCTTTAGTACATAGCGATCGTTCTCCTTCTCTCTAACCTCCATAGTTACTGCGTTCACTAAGCTGGGCTTGAGCTTGTTCGCCATTAGGGGAATAACATCAAGTGTATATACTGTACCTATCTGTATTTAAGAAGATTTTAAGTGAGGTAGGTCCTAGCGGTATTCCCGGTCTAATTGGAGCGCCCGTCTGGGGAAGTAACCTCCACCTTACAGTAGATCACAGTAAAATAACACTACCTTTTGATGGTGTTTTGTTTCTGATGATGAGTATGGTCAGGGTAGGCAACGGTGCGAGTGATAGCTTTGCTTTGGTCTTGCAAGCGTCTATTCTATTGGCTATGGTGGCCGCTTACCATCAGGCGTTTATCATCGTTTCAACATTAAATATTCGTTATGTTTGAATTTTTAGCTTGTTTATCATCGTATCAACATAAAATCTTCGTTATGTTTAAATATTTTAAGCATTTAACTGCTAGATGTTTAAATCTAAAGAAAAGTTCACTAGAAAAAGATCTACGCGGACCAGGCAAAATTGCTATTTTCTTTCAAATGCTTAATACTCGTAAAAGTATTCATTTGACATTATGGGTTACCTATAATGCGAAGAAATGGCGCTGCCTTACAGCCTAAGGCTAGAGAAAATTTGACACGGCCGTAAGGGCCGCGGTAGCATAATGGTCAGTGCATTCGCCCGGATAGCGAAGGGTTCGAGGGTTCGGGGTTCGAGTCCCGTCTGCTGCCTGGCCCGCGTAGAATTTTTTCTAGTAAACTTTTCTTTAAATATAAAATCTTCGTTTCAAGATGTCGGACGTGGCCCAGGGGGGCGCCACCGTGTTCACTAAGCTGGGCTTGAGCTTGTTCCCCATTAAGGGGGCTGCAGCGTTCTGGTTGAACTTGCATCCTTCGGGCGAAGGCGATCTGGCCACCAGGCACGCAGCCTGCCCCGTTTTACGAGGCTCCAAGTGGGGTGAGATTTGTTTATGTTTTATGATTAATAAACATAGTATTAGAGTAGAACGCCGATTATCTGAATTAATTGGGACGGGGGTCGATTCGGATAATAGAAAATTCGGATAATCTGTCATAGACTGGTAATAAAGAGAAACCAATTGTCAAAAATAGAATAAACCTTATAAGTTTAACAGATACAGTTCTAAAATACTAAATACAATAACAGAGGTTCATAGTAGCAAAAAAAAAACCGCGCCACGCAAAACATGTAGTGTCTTGCCTCTAGCTTTCAACCATAACTAAAAAATATATCTTGGGGCCATTCGCCTAACGGAAATGCTTTGGAAAACGTTAACGCTTTCGATTTTATTTTGTTATTTCTGACCGCCGAAGGTTTTCAAATACCTCACGCTCATTTTTTTGAATATTGTTATTACCAAAGCAAAAGAAAAAAAAGAGCGCAAGGCATTTGAAAACCTCAGGCGGCTAGAAATAACAAAATGAAATCGTAAGCGTTAGCGTTTTCCAAAGCATTTCCGTTAGGCGAATGGCCCCCTGGACTCGAGTGAGTTCCAACTTTTTACAAGAAAACAAAACAAATATAACTTGGTTTTAATTTTTTCAAATTATGCTTAGGACTTATTCGTATAATTGGCGATTCGGTTAATCGGCGTTCTAATGTATATTGTTTTTAACTTTCATGGTCACTAACATTATAGTAATTTAAGTTATTTACGGGATTGTTACCATTGTTATTCCGTGATCATGGCGCTTGCAACAGTGCCGAAATAGCGAAAACTCGCTAAAACAAGGTATATGCTAACAATCCCGTAAATAACTTATATTACTATAAGTTATTTACGGGATAATATATAATAATGGTATTTCCAACACTCACATCAATAGGTTGCCGACGGGATAAACGAAATTCTATTAAGTCCGACAGTTAGATTATCAAAAAAAATTAACACATTATTTCATATTTTGGGCAATTAACCAAAAAATGACAAAGATAAAGCGCGTCAAAGTTTGAGACGGGGGAGGGGAGCTTGTGACGTCACTTAAGTGAAAATTGTACCAAAACAAAATCAATTTATGTCTGTAATGTTTTGATTATTAGAATGAAGAAAAAAATATGTGTCCAATACTTTTTGATAATCTATCTGATAGATGAAGAGAAAAAAGTTAGTCGTCATCCCTATTAGCCTAGCCGCAAAGTAAATATTGGTGTCGATGATGCCATGATTCTCTAAACCTGAACTTAAAATTGGCTACAGTGTATCCTCGTCATTCGCTATACAGAATGAACAGGAGAGACTGATGTTAAATTATGTTTTATGTTTAGAGAATCATGCCAGAATCAGCACCACTGTAAAGCTTGTCTTATCGGATAGAGTAACGGATAGAATACATATATGTACTTGATACATATTGAAATATGTATCTTCGCGTCTGGACTCCACCGTCACTTATAAATATCCCCACCTGATATTTATCATTTGTTGGACCTATGTATAAAAAAAGTATAATATAGAAATACTAGCTGTCCCAGCGAACTTCGTACCGCCATGAAAAAATATGGGTTGATGGTAGAAGGGTGAAAATTTAGGGTTGTATGTATTTTTCTATGAAGTTGGTATCATAAAAAAATAAAAACAAAAAATTGACAAAAAAAAAATAAAGGGGGACCGGACCACCCTTAACATTTAGGGGGATGAAAAATAGATGTTGTCCATGTGTGTTGTGTGATATGCATCACGAAAATCGGTTGAGCAGTTTCGGAGTAGTTCAATTACGCACACCGTGACAGGAGAATTTTATATATTTTATAAATCCAATCCATCATCATTTGGTCCCACCGGGATTCGAATCGGCACCTCTCGATTAGGCGTTGAAACCTGGCTATTCACATATAATACGAGCATTTGTTATTAAGTCAAGGATGTTTCTATGTGTTTCTAGATAAATATATTATGTATCAGAATTTATGTATTCTACCGTTACCCTAGTATCTCATCATTAATAAAACTATTAAGTCTTACATTGGTTACTTTGGGGCTAGGACAATTCGTGTGAGCGTTACAAATATTTATTTTTGTTATTTTATTTATTTACCTAAGAACTGCCTAAAATACAATGACACGATATCATTAATCATTAGCCTATTAATATCCCCACGGCTGGGCACAGGTCTTCCCTATGGATGGAATAGGGATTATGGGCCATGACCCTCAACGTGGGCCCAGTGCGGATTGGTGAGTGCTAATAACTGCAAATTCACAAATTCAGCCGGGACCAACGGCTTAACGTGCCTTCCGAAGCATGGAGGAGCTCGAGATAATAAACTTTTGATCACCCATTGTTACGACAGCGCCATCTAGCCACTTAGGTGAATCTAGATGGCTTGCAAAAAATTTAATGAACTTAGAGAGTTTTCGGCATTTAAAAACTAGATGGCGTTGCCGACGAATATATGAGGAGCTGGCGAACAAAACGGTATAATTACATAAAATTAAATTTTACAGGAGCAGTAAAAATCTGAATGACATACCTACAGTGAGCTTTTGACGTGATTTTTAATTTAGTAATTTTAACACTATTTTAGGCGGTTTTGATTGACATGAGTTGAAATTCAAATTCAGCTGGCCTAACACCTCCGGGCTATAAAAATCAAGTATTATATGGTCAAAAACCATATGCGTAATTGTACCGTTTTGTTCGCCAGCTCCCCATATTATGTTCATTTAGGGGAATATATAATTGATAGTTATTCTTGTAGGAGTTTTATATTACAAACTAATAGGAGTGGTGACTTTTGATGAAACAGTTGTTATTGGGCCGTACTTTGGTATAACGAGAAAAAATATCGATATTTCTATTTGCATGTTATGTTGCCCTGGTAAAATAAGTTAATTATTATTCTAAAAAGTTCCTATCGGGGTTAAAATCCAGTACATAAAAAAATACAATTAGATTGCCAAATTAATTTTTTAGAAGAGAATCGGCACTATAGTACAACTTGCTTAATTTTTCGTATTCGAAGGAAAGTACAGTTTTTTATCTACGCGCGTCTATTTTTATAGCTAGTAATATATCAACCTTTTTCAAAATTTATGGCGCAAGTGGTTAGCGCGTTCGGCTGCGATCGCTGAAGTTAAGCAGCTTTCGTAGTGGTCGGTCATTGGATGGGTGACCAAAAATTTACTATCTCGAGCTCCTCCGCGCTTCGAGAGGCACGTTAAGCCGTTGCTCCCGGCTGCATCTGCAGTTGTTAGCACCCACCAATCCGCACTGGGCTCGCATGGTGGGTCATGGCACAAAACTCCCTATTCCATCCATAGGGAAGATCTGTGCCCCAGCCGAGGGGACATTATAAGGCTGATGATGATGATTATATAAATGTATTATTTTTCTAGTATCTAACAAATGGCTCCATCAAGGGGGACAAGAACTTCTGAAGCCTTGCAATCTAGAGTATCAAGGTGAAGCCATCATTAGACCGATACCTAAACCAATTCCTAAGACTTCCAGGTAGGAACGTCGCCAAAGTCCTGAATTTTGTGCAAATGTCCCAGTAAAGAACTTTAATCAAACGTTTTCGCGCAATATTTTTAATCACTCATGTCAAGTGTGAAATATATTGTAACTATGTTTAAGAAAAAAATGTGGAATCTCTTAGATTTTTGTAAAGGCAAAAGCGGATTAGCGGGCTTCGAATTCTACTCATACGAAATAAACTTTTACTACGTAAGAATAATGTTCAAAATCCGCTTTGTTATGTGTTAAAACATCTACTGATTGAAACTTTGTAATCGTGCTTTAGAAGCTATTTATGTTAATTAAAATAAGTAATAAATTCAGTTTGGTGTTGTGTTCATAATACTAATGACATAGCAAATAGAGAAACCAAAATCTAAATACTTAACGATATAATGATAGTTATTTTAATGCAATTATGTATAAAGGAAAATGGTATATAGAAAAAAATACATAATGATCGTCTAATGGATTATATCCACATTTTAATATAAAACAGTACAACATATAACTTAAAAGTATTTCTTATTTTATTTGGTGCGTGATAGATGAAACGTTTTCCTATATCCTTTTTTATAACTTGCGCTCACCCAAAATTAATCTGCTTGAAAAAAATTGTTTGCCACATAGAATAAAAAAATTACGGGGCATCATTTGAGAATAGCATAAGAACATGATTCGTAGGGGGGGAAATAGGAAAAGGGAGTATTTTGCGTTGTCTACTTTCCGAGTGCAGCCATAATGATTTTTTTATTTATTATTAATAGTAACAGTATCTTTATTAATAACTTATTATAAAGTCGTTAATGCCATTAGGCTTTCTTGCCATTAACAAAAGCTTAACAATACATAGAAGCTGCTACATTGCCACAATACTTGCATTTTAAATTATTATTTATTTGAGTAAGTTGTATGACTAATAAATAAAGGTATATCCATACCGATATGCATTTACTACTTATAAAATTTCGATCTGTTTTTTTACATTTTGTTAATTATGGCCATATTTTGTGATATTTATAGATGTAGAAGATCACATTTATTTTATTAATTTACTTTTCAGATATATTTTAATTTTAAAGCCATACCTTACTAAATCAATCTACAGAAAATATAATAAGGATTTTTCGATTGAATAATTTGAAATAAAAATAGTTTTGGCACTAGGTAAGAGTAAATAAATGATATATTTTTATTTTCTTTACAATTAAAGATACAATATGTGAGAAAAGAAAACAATAGGATCGTTAACACAGGAATCGCTGATCATTAAACTATTAATTAAACACAGCCCAAACAGTTCCTTGAGGGACTCAAATTTAATAAAAATATTTTCAATTTAAAGATAATTGTGTTGTAATAAATTAATGAAATAAACTAATTATGAACACGATCCACAAAAGATCCTTAATATTTTGTACATTTTTATTGTATTACAATATCAAAAGTGTTTGTCCAATCAAACAAATTACTTTCATATTGTGTATGAGTTATAAATCAATTTGTATGTGTCTGTCCAATAATTGTGTTAATATAATGTTGATCGTGCATATAAAAGTATAAAAATCAACATGTTTTTTAACATTTTTAATTGCGTTAATATTTGATAAATAAAGACTGTACTTTTATAACTTAAAACATCGAGATTGGCTGTATTGGTTTTGAGATTATTATGAAATAAATGCTTAAGTGTTGCTTATTCGGTTATTGCAATACAAGAATATACAGTAGCTAAGTATAAATTACATTTACTACACATTTGTTGTGGTAATTACATGTTTTATTTTATTTAACTAACAGTACAAATATTTTTTATATCCGAAAACAGTAAATAATGTGACCGCCTCTGTGTCCGTATAAATCTAGTACTAAGTTGGATGAAATCTTAATGTTACAGTAACTTTTGACATTAAAAATGGATTATTTACAAATACATTGTTCTTTATGAATTCTTGCTTTTTATTTTCAAAGACCAGCTTATATACAGGGATTAAGTTATTTCACTTAAATTGTTTTAATATTGTATTAAATACGATGTTTCTTGCAAGTTGTCAAGACGATGATAAGGACTACCTTACCTTAGTTTACATAACAAAATAGACACTTGATAGGAAATTATTTATTCAAATTAGTGTAAAGAATACAGGGACGATAAAAAATAATTTATAACTGGAAAACTATCAAAAATGGCTAAACATACATAGCAGTTCAAAATATAGGCAACGGTAACTCCTATCACAGTAATAAAACAATTTAAGTTAAATATCTCGTTTAAACAATAACTATAGAAATTAATCCTTAATTATTGAAGAACATAAAAGTAAAGTTGATAACCTTCTGCTGCGAGGTCGATCTTGGTTTTGTAAATTGTTGTGAGGAGAGCAATTTAAGACAACAAAAACGTTACATATAGAATTAGACGTATACTGTACATAACATTCCTGTTGTTTATACATTACCCTAAAGCTTCTGATGATCTGTGATCTTCTGCGAAACGGCGAAGTGCGGGTAGTCGGTGATCGTTAGAATATTCCAGAACAAACAAAGTAAGTACATGCATATTTCGACTTTAGCATTGCACACTACTGTGTTTGCTTTGAAACACTCTTATCGTTTTTCTCAGGTTTTGAAGCTGAAAATTATCTGTTGATTAAAAAGTATAGGAGTACATTAGTATAAATTATGTTTAAACAATAATAATGCGAAAAACGCATTTCCTATATATTGCAGAAGATAATTTATATCTGTAGTGTCGTTAATAATGTAGACTTGTGTATTTTCAGTTAATTATGGCCAAATTAAGTATTAAAACTGGATTACTAGCAATCACACGCGACATTGATTTCCAACAAGAAACGACAATAATAGGAAAACAATTAGTTTTGGCTCACTATTTGAAAGATGTAATGGCATTGTAACGTGCTATTTCCTACAAAATAAAATATTAAAAATGTTGCCATAGAAGTAAGTTTACTTTTTACTCTTGACAGCGAGTAGCTATTTCATTTGTTGTTCTCGTTTCTAACTTGCTCGTCGAAATTTGTGATCAGCCATTAAATCAGACATTAAACCTCTGTGGTAAATATATATCAAAAGAAAAAAACAGTGCATTAATGAGAAACAGTGTAAGGGCTCTTTCAATTTATGCGTTTCTTGACGGCCTGCTGCGGTGCCGAAGCGATGCGTTTGTCGTACAGCGTACGGCCGATCAAAATGCGCGGTGCGGCAACAGTCCTGTTGTCGAGCGTTCGCGGTACCGGCGCCGCACTGTTGCCGCACCGCGCGTTTTGTATGAAAAAAAAGGATCGTCCGTACGCTGTACGACAAACGCACCGCTTCGGCACCGCAGCAGGCCGTCAAGAAACGCATAAATTGAAAGAGCCCTAACAATGATATTTCATACAATATTTTTGCACTATTCTCGCTCTAAGCAACAAAAATACGTCCTTTGTGAACTGTTTTGTAGTCATTGATGATAACATTACTGCGTAGTTGAGAGTCCCCCGAACGAATGTTTTTGCAAAAATATTTAATGTACCTACACGTAAACGCGAGGCTTACATTTTTATTATATATATTTATATTTAGGGCAGCAGTAATTACAGGTAGGTCATAGGGGTGCCGCCCTTCGTAGCCTGCCACCCCGTTTTAAGTTAGGCTTGCGACAACAAACTATATGACTTGCGCTACCATTACCTGATCCCATCCCCTACACCGTGGAGCCCTGAAACCTTACTAATCGACAGAAGTACTTACAACAGCACCAAAAGTTGGTGTTATTTTACTGTAAGGTGGAAGTTACTTTCCCCAAATGATGGCTCCGATTCGAATTTCTTAATCCGCTATGCCAGACTGGCAGCCGTTGAGATGTTTATTCTACATTCTGCTCCAGGACACAAGCAGCTGTTACATTCTTTGTTTTTCTTTTCGCTCCCAATCTAGGATGGATGTTTATGGTATATAGCTATTTGGACACGTAAGGCTCAATTTATCTTCTTTCTTTGTACATTTTTCAACTTATTTATATTTAGGGTTCCGTACCCAAAGGGTAAAAACGGGACCCTATTACTAAGCCTCCACTATCCGTCTGTCTGTCTGTCACCAGCTGTATCTCATAAACCATACTGATGGTGTATTTCTGTTGCCACTATAACAAAAAATGCTAAGAACAGATAGTGTCTAATGTTGTGTAGATAATGTTACGGAAGCCTTCTCGCACTGTGCCGGTACCTATTTTATACTAACTTAACCACAATAAAGATTGCGAAAGTTTGGTCAATACCGAATATTTATTAAGGTATAGAATGATTTGAAATAGGTAGTCGATCGAAGGTTTTCGGGAAACCGGAACATTAAAGTCTGGGTTAACGTTTGGCGTTTCATAACACTGTCCACGGATAATAGCTCTTTGTTATAAGGTCAATCGTTGCTGGAAATGGCTCCTCATGTTGCTTCAATGCATTCATTCCACGTTCACGGAAACACCGCAACACCACAGCTTGTGGGAATCTGGAAAAGATAACCGATTTATTCTCGGAACATGGATACGTTTGATTCATCGATTGGTGTTGCAAAAAAGGAAAACTTATTTACTAATCGTAATAAAATTTCCCATCCTAGAAATCTAAACCTATAGGTTCGTGTGTGCTAACTCATAACTAATTTAATTAAAAAACTAATTTAAAAGAAACGTGAACTAAGTAGAGAAGTCAATACACCAATAAATGATATTCCATTGCATAATCTTCACAGTGATTCACCATAAAACATACTATTGTAATTAATTTTATGATTAAATACTCGTAAGTAATAAATATTTTATAAACTTGTCATTAATGGAGTTGGGATAATTTAAATCAGTTTTTTTCCGACGATAAATGAGAGGCGTTATAGAATTAATGAATCATATTTCTCATACGAACAAATCCACTACTAATAACCTATTGCCTATTTATCAAATCCATATAAAAGCTAATATTATTTATCTCTACATGTAGGTACCACTGAATAAATTAACTAATATATCTCATGGTTACATATCTTAGTTCTTGTAATTTACGTGGTCAATCTGCTTTTATGGAAGTTATAACCGCTTTTGTCGTGACTAGGATGAAAAAGATGGGTGGCCAAAATTTCCAGTTCCTCTGTGCTACAGAAAGCAGATACTTGAAGCCATTGGTCTCAGCTGTATCTTGTTAGTTAGCATCCACCAACCCTATGGGCTTCTGTCCATAGAGAAGTATCCGGTTAACATCCGAATAGTGGGCGGGCACTGATGATAATCTTGCAAAAATACAGATATTTCTTATGATTAGGCACCTATTCGTAAACCAATCTAAGAATATGATACACCCAAATGTTACCGGTATAGAAAAAGGTAGCTACAAAACGTACCTGTTTTGTTTGTGGCATTGTAACTGATTAAGCCATGTCACATAAAAATTGTAATGCCTCAGCTAATGTAGTTTTTTCATTAGGGAACTCATCACTCTGATACTTAATGTTTTATGAGATATCTAAGTAATTAGGTACCCAGAATTAAATCCTCTCTCGAGAACAGGATGAAAAAGTTACTTCACCACGACAATAGTAGTACTTACTAACTATAACTTTTTTTCTTCGTCCATCAGGTAGATTACCAAAAAGTTAAAGTTAAGACACATATTTTTGTTATTTTTCACATAATCAAAACATTGTAGAGATATAATGATATGAATTGTCGCGTAACATCACATCTGGCTACAATTTTTACTTAGAAGTGACATCACGAGCCCCCACTTCAAAACGTGCTTTATTTTTATTATTTTTTGATAATCTGACGGACTAATTAAAATTTTGTTTACCCCTTCATCATCCCTATTGATGTGGATTACTGACAATTCATGAAAGCAAAGCTCTTGAATATATCTTGAATACTTATATCAAAATAAATATCATCATTTCGACAATGAGTAGGTGTCTCAGAGAATCGTTCTCAATCAAATATTCATGGCTATGCCGACAGAACGATTAATTATGAACTGACGGCGATTCAGGTACGTGTCTGACTTCGGGCATCAAAGAAACATAAGTTATTAAAGTTGAAATATGAAAAATATTCAAATCTGCCCACTTTGCTCCATCGTGAATGGCTATCACGTTTTTCAGGAGTGAATTTTGTAAGTATTTGCGAATTTCTATTTAATTTGAAAAAATGTTTAATTTATAAGTAGACAAGTAAATATAATTACTTAGTAAAAGTGCCTTTATAGGCTCCCCTTTCCTTTTAAATCCAATGAGTTCAAGTACATAATAGGATAATCGATTAAATCCTATTGGCAATTACGCAAGATAGGCGTTAATTTTTAATTTTTTATTAATATTTTGCAATTAACTGTTTGTCACTGGATACTTTAATTGACACTGTCACTATCGCGTGCTGGTTGCAAACTGGTGGACATCGGTCCCCGTCGGCGACGATGTAACGTGAGCGCGGACTGTAAACATCCACCCGGTTGCTTGCAGACATCCCCGCTCAGCTGGCGTCCATAGTAACTAATGCGACACACGATAAATTTAATGCGGCGACCACCGTCGTAGTCATATCGCTAAAATGCTCCGCCTGATTGTTAGATCTCGTCATCATCTTAGTAACTAACACCTTCGCCAATAATTGAAATAATTAGGTACCTAAAAGTGCGAGTTTAGGAATATGGTCAGTCCAAATTTAAAAAATACGCTAAAACAGTAAGAATCATAAGAATTTTAACAATTACTGAACAACTACTTAATTTTAAAGAAAAAGTCTTGTCAATTTTTCTTATAAATTGATTGTTTTAAATTAAAATGGCGGTTTCCTCCAGTTCCAATTGTCTAAAGCATATTACAGTACACGGGCAACCAGACTCTTCTTCCCCAGTGGCATTTTGGGCAAGTGCCCAGAGCCCCGCGATCGATAAGGGCCCCCCTCA